TGGTATTCCCCCCCTGTTGTGCTTGTTGTAGTTGCATGTTAGGTGTTTCCAGTGTTCTTTGGCAACTAGAAGAAGATCTTTTCATGTGTGCCACTGAAAGCTTCTCAGTCCTTTCTCAGGACCTTCTTTTGGGACTGGAGTAAACATGAATAAGAAATGAAAAGGTTTCTGCTGTTTAGCCTATTATGTTGCAGTGTGAAGTCAGGAATGTTTAAATACCCCAAACAAGGAATTGGGAGGTTAGCAATTCCTTCTCTCAGTGGCCAACCTTGTAGTCTTAAGTCTGCCTAAAACCATGGGATAACAAAAAGGAACCGCTGTAGCCTGCTCATGCCCACCTTCAGTACTGAGTTCAGCATTTACCATCCACATTCTTTCCCCGTTCAGACTGTATATCAGAGCCACAGAAGAATTCTCTCTCTGTTCTTCTCCTGCCCTTGCATAAGTACACATATGAACACATGAATTTTCCTGACTGAGTCAGACCGTTGATTTATCAGGGTCAGTATTGTCTACTCTGATAGGCTGAGGCACCTCAGATGAAGGTGTAATGAACAGAGAATGGTTAACATGTTATAGTGGTCTGAGAACTTTGATTGACATGGTATTCAAATGGAATTCTACAGTTGAGAGTGTCAGTTAAGAGTGGTGGTTAAGAGTGGCAGTTAAGAGTGAAGTTTAGGAGAGTTAAGGATCCTGTATTTGGGAAGTGGGACCAGTAGCCCTTCCCTGAGGGAAATAAATCCACCTAAAAGAGGGTGATCCCTATTCAGTGTTTAAGAAAGAAAACTGGAACTTGAGTGTATGTTCCCGCCTTCAAAAACTTTAGTAATTTTATTACAAAGAAGCTTCTGCCTGTTTATTTAAGCAGTGACTGCCAAGATATCTCTCTCCAAAGTTTTAAAGATCTGTCTGTATAACAAAACAGCTACCTTCTTGTGTACAAAGTTACCTCATTCCTATTGCCTGTCCCCCTTCTAAGTTTAAACGTGATACCTACCTGACAGTCTGACTTGACCCTTTCCCCACAACAGTGAAATAAAGCAGGTTGCTTGTTTTGAAATACTATCAGCCCCTCTTATGCCATAATCTGATTTACACAAATGAAGGATTTTTGTTGGATCCTCAGTTCCCTTGTCTGAGTCAGCAGATATCTGTATACATTTAAACAACTGGGTGGGATAGACAGTGAAATGAAGAAGAAAAAAGGACTTCCCAGCTAAAGAAAAATAAAAAGGAAGTTGGGGAAACATTATATGAACACATACGATCTCATGAATTTTGCTGACTGAGTCAAACCATTGATCTATCAAGGTCAGTATTGTCTACTCTGACAGGCTGAGGCATCTCAGCTGGAGGTTTTTCACATCAACTACAACTTGGTTCTTTTAACCAGAGATGCCATGGACTGAATCTGGTGTGTTCTGTGCACAGAAGCTCTGCCACTCAAACCATGGCCCCTCCCTTTTAAGTAACTTGCCTGCTTGTTGCTATGGAGGTGGGTGTCAGGCAATGGCTATCTGGCTGGGTGACAGAAAGGATAAGGGAAAGTCTCCCGAATTTCTTCCCTTTTTCCTTTCTTCCTCTGAGCTGTGTAAGGAAGTTCCAAAGATACCTGATGGAAGATGGGCTGAGTCTTTGGAAGTACATTATTCATGTGATATTACATGTTGCTATAACAGTGTCCAGGATGCCTGGAAGCAGGGGAGGAAAGTGTGAGGGGAGGTCAAAACCTCTTCCCTCTTTTTCTCTGTCTACTGTCCTATTGAGTTTTGGCACTGCAACACTGGCACTGGTTCTGCCAGACACATTGTACCAGTTCTGCTGTCCTTGCAACCCCCCTCCCCCTTGCTCAGATTGTGATTCTATGCTTGATCAGCCCTGTGTTTGAGCTGGCATTTGCCACAATGGCACTGGGTTCTGCTGCTGGGCACTAGTAGGTTGGCACTGGGTTCTGCTACTGGGCACTAGTACATTGTACTGGTTCTGCTGTCCTTGCAGAAACCCCTCCCCCTCAATTTGAACTTCAGAGATGTTTAGATTTGACCTTAGTCCTGTTGAGCTTTGGCACTGCCACGAAGGCACTGGTTCTGCTGGACACAATTCACTGGTTCTGCTCCCAAATATTGGGAGTGGGACTCAGGAATACCAGTATTGGGGTTCCAGAATATCGAGAAATACTGATGTTTTTCAGGTCCAATATACCCGAATTTTAAAAATGTGGTTTTTTTCTTGCACACCCCTATTCCTGAAGACATTCTTATAGGCCTTCCAAATAAGAATAGAAAAGCTGGATTATTTTCTGACTTTAAAAAAAAATTGGCTTGATTTAACTGAACCCAAATGTAAATCAAGGCCAAGGTCACATTTGTCAATGCTCAACCCTCCTCAACCATCCATTTGCAATATGGGGATACTGTTGTAAGGATTATTTGGAAGATGTATGTGAAGTTCTTTGAACATTTAGAACTGCTATATAAATGCTAAATATATTATTATCATTGGCAGACCTACCCTTTCTTTAATTGTGCAGTTACTTTGTGGAATATCCTGTCTTTCAAAAAAATATAATAATCTCATCCAATATTTCTCACTGTTTCCCCCAGCTCAGGGCGGATGGTTTTTAAACCTCTGAAGAGGCTCAAACCAGCAAAGTGATTATCTGCAGTGCTAAAATAAGCCAAATTGCTCCCTGTGCTCTAGCAATTTCTTTATTAATAAGCACTAATTTTAGGAAACATTTCTGCTCTCAATTCTTAGCTGTTTTTGGATTCTTAGAAACAGCACACACTTTTTTAAAAAACCATTTGCCTGATGGCACAGCAAGTACCCCTACACAGGCACAGTGTGAGACCCACACTAGCCCCACCACCCATTTAGCAGCATCCATCAGGGCCATTGCCTACCCCTGCAGTTTCTGGTTTACCCCTGTCCCTTCATTTCTGCTGCAGCACAGGCTTATAGCAAAGGGTGTCGTGGTTAAGTGTGCAGACTCTAATCTGGGAGAACTGGGTTTGATTCCCCACTCCTCCACTTGCAGCTGCTGGATGACCTTGGGCAAGCCATAGTTCTGTCAGAGCTGTCCTTGAAAGGGCAGTTCATGAAGGAGCTCTCTTAGTCCCACCTACCTCCCAGGGTGTCTGTTGTGGGGAGGAGAAGGGAAAGGAGTTTGTAAGCCACTCTGAGACTCCGAGTGAAGGTTGGGGTACAAATCCAATCTCCTCCTCCTCCTCCTCTTCTTTTTCTCCTCCTCCTCCTCCTCCTCTGATGGCAGATCTACAGAGGGAATGACAAGGGGGCAGAGTGAAGACTAGCCCCATAACATGTGATCCCAGCTGAAGAAAAGAAATGCTGTGTGGATCTTTGTTCCTATTGAACAGGCTGTTTTCTTTAGCTTTCATTGAGACGGGACTCTGGTTGCCTGTTTTGCTGTCCTCGCCGGAGATGAGTTCTGTATGAACTAGAGCAGAGCAAATGATCACCCAGCAGCTGAAATGGGGAATCAGCACAAGGCTACCTATGCCATTTTCTAAGGGAATTTTGAATGCTAAAATATAACCTTTGTAACTGTGGAGAAGACTCCGGAAGAAGGGCCTCTGGTGGAGGGTACTGGAGGGTGTGCCCTAACCTGGGTGGCCCGGTCTAGCCCGATCTCATCAGATCTCAGAAGCTACGCAGGGTCGGCCCTGGTTAATACTTGGATGGGAGTCCAAGGAAGTTCCGGGTTCCTCTGCAGAGACAGGCAACGGCAAGCCTCCTCTGAACATCTCTTGCCTCGGAAATGCAAGAGGGTCATCATCAGTCAGCTGCAACTTGAAAGCACTTTCCACCACCTTTGGAGGGCTGTATGCTTAGTATGTTGGGTAAAGCCTCAACACAGAGGATGGGATATATGAAATAGCTGCAGAAGTCAAAAAACATCCGGCCAGCCCTCCCTTGGAGGTAGAATCAGACATCAATCTCAGGGGGGCACTTTGAGTACCATTAGGAAGAAACAGAATAACAAATAGTTGTTGCGGAGGCAAATAATCAGCTCTCTGATATGAATATTTGTTTGCAAATCAAGGATCAGATCTCCAATCTGTTGTGAAGTTCCCTATATGAGCTAGGACCACTCTTTCAGATAAAGCCATCTCACAGGGCTGTTTTAAGAATAAAGCAGAGATGCAATATGGACTGATATATACAGCCCTGAACTCTCAGAAGGGCAGGATAAGAAAAAATGAATCAAGTAAGTCAGTAAGTAGGCTTGCCAAGTCCCCTCGGGGGGCCCCGCCGGTGGATCGGGCCCAAGGGGAAACCCCACCCCCACGTGCACATCACTAGGAAGTGACATGACGACGCCGGGCATGCTGGGGGCGGGGCCACGACCATCCGAGGGAAAACTCTATGGTTTTCCCTCGGACAGTCGTGGCCCCGTCCCCAGTGTGCCCGGCGTTGTCACGTCACTTCCTGGTGACGTGCATGCGGCACGCGCAAAGCCGCAAGCCGGGAGTCCCCTGCTGCGGCGATTTTTTTACTTGGCAACCTATCAGTAAGCCATGTGGGGAAAAGTTTCAAGCAACCTAATCAGTCTGTTTTCTTTTTAAAGTATTCCCAAATCAGCTGTTAAGAAAAGCATAAGAATTCAATAAACCACCATAAAAACACAGTAACACACAGTAAGAAACAATAATGGCCATCAACAACAATAATGTAGCACATTAAAAGTAATACTGTAAAAGCACCATTCTATAGCTTCATGTTTAAGAAGAGAGGAAAAGGAAATGGTATTGTTCTTCAATGTGTCACTAAACAACAGAATTGAACAATTTTTTATTGAGGCCTGGAAAGATGCATTCTGATTTTTTGGCCTGTCTTCGTGTTTGAAATCTGAGCTTGAATATAAATCGACTGGTTTAATTTATTTCAAATGTCATCAGCTGCAGCAAAACTGTATCCCATTGAGCTGAGTAAGTTGGTTGAAATAATCCTTTTCTGTTTGATTATGTCTTCTTCAGAAAGCCACATCCTCGAGGATGTAAACAAGTGCATCATGGCGCTAAGAGAACAGAACGCTGATGATTTAGATTGTGCCGCTGGGGCCATCCGTGGACGTGCCACAAGAGTGGCACACATTGTTTCTGGTGAGATGGACAGTTATGAACCTGGAGCTTACACTGAAGGAGTGATGAAAAATGTGCAGCATCTTATGAATGCTGGTATGTGTACTTTCATTTTCTGTGTTTTTTAAAATCTATTTTCTTGGGAACTTTACATTATGCAGCATTTATTCACCATTTTAAACCAAATATATACCAAATATAGGCCCCGGTCACACGGGCAGGAAAATGCGGGGGGGGGGAGCGTGGCTCTTTGCCCCGGAGCAAAATAACACGCGGCTGCGCAATCAGACATCCCGCAGAGGTCCCGTAGTTAGGGGGGAGGTGCCGATCACAGGACAATCCTGCGGCATGGCAAAGAACCGGCCTCTCTAGCAAAAGGCTCCATGGGTTTAACCCCTTCCAGGGCTGCAGAGGAATGCAAACTGTGTCCTCCGTCCGGTCCCCTACAGGAGAAGCTTCAGCCGGGCCGCCCTCCTGCCACGCCACCCCTGCACCTCCCCCTCTGCTGCCCGGTGCAGAGAGTTCCTCTTGAGCAGGCCGAGCCAGTAGTGGGGGGGGTACAGAAAAGAGTAGGGGGATGAAATGTGCGCATGTGCCATTGGGTGCTTGTGCGCATCCCGTGGAGACTTGGAAAAAAAACCCTTTTCGCAAGGGGACATGGGCGGGCGCCGGATGCCACGGGATTCCACCGGAAACGCGATCAGGCGCCCGCCCTTGCCCCACGGTTTCCGGAAACTAGTACCTCGGAGGTACTAGTTTTTTACCCCGCATCTTCAGCAGACAGCAGGAAGCCTCGGGTTCGCCATGGGAGGTCTATGCTTCCCAGATGTGGTGCTGTGATCGCACCTGGAAAATCCACCTATCTTCCGTCTCTGTAGCATGGCTAATGCTCCGTGTGACCGCAGCCTTATTATACCCTATTTTATTTATATATGTACACTATTGTACCATAGATGTGTAAAAATAGGTGTCAGTTTGAATTGCAATAATTTCTGTAATGCTCCCAACTCTGGACAATGTTCCATTAACACTATTACCAGTGGTGAAGAGTCTGGGTGTAACTCCGGATGCCTCCCTTTTAATGGAGGCCAAGGTCACAAATACTGACAAGCTGGTGTTCATCTATTTAGGCCGAGTCAGGCAACTGGCCCCTTTCCTGTCCCACCCTTCAGGTGAGATTACTGTAACTTGCTCTATGCAGGGCTACCCTTGAGACTGATCTGGAAACAAACTGGTCCAGAATGCAGTGGTGCAGGTCCTTACAGGTACTCCTATTAGAGCACATATCCAAACAAAGGCACTGGCTCCAGAATGAGTACAGGATCAAGTTCAAGGTGCTGGTTTTAACCTTCAAAGCCCTATGTGGTCTGGGACCCACATATCTGTGGGGCTGCCTCTCCTGACATACCCCCCAAAGAGCATTATGCTGTTCTAATAACAACATACTGGAGATCCCAGGACTAAGGAGTATTCACCTGGCCTCGACCAGAAACAGAGCCTTTTCAGTGATGGCTCCAACTTGGTGAAATGCACTCCCAACCGAGATCCAGGCCATGTGGGATTTGGTACAATTCCGTAGCTGCTGCAAGATGGAGTTATACCGCCAAGCATATGGATGAGGCTGGGGAAACTCCCAGCTATGCAGTTCTGGTACCTTGCCTTTTCCCCTGGGGCAGCAGTACAGTAAATATATGGGCCATCATGGAAATCGTTTTACTGAATTGTTTGAATTGAAATGTTTTATGTGGATGTATGTTTTATTTATTATATGTTTGCACCTGCTCTGAGCCCCACATTAGTCGGACAGAGCGGGATACAAATTGAAATAAATAATAATAGTATAACATTTTGTTAGTATTTTTAGACGGAAAAATGATTACAATTTATTCCCAAGAGAAATCAAACAAGAAATCTGAACTTTTACATCAAACCAAAGATTTGGCAGTGCCCCCTAGTTTGTGGATAAGAGCCTGAAAGCTGTTTCGTAACTCTGGCGTTTTCTATCATCATAACTTTCTTTTATACGAACCTTAGATTTGCACTCTGGTAGTTCACTCTGGTAGCTCTTTATAGTGTAGAGCTAGCTGAAGTTTAATGGACACATATATCTATTATAATATATGTCTATTTTACTGTATTACAACTGTTCCAGTTCTAATATATTAATACTTTGAATACTGGGTTATTAGCTGACAATATTTGACTAGTCAGTTGACCAAGGAGTTTTGGGCTGGTACTGATGTCAATTGCACCACCAGTGCTAGGATTTTCATAGAATCATAGAGTTGGAAGGGACCTCCAGGGTCATCTAGTCCAACCCCCTGCACAATGCAGGAAATTCACAAATACCTCCCCCTACACACCCACAGTGACCACTGTTCCACACCCAGAAGATGACAAAAAAACCTCCAGCATCCCTGGCCAAACTGGCCTGGAGAAAATTGCTGCCTGACCTCAAAGTGGCAATCAGCATTTCCCTGGGGGTGTATGAAAGGGCCACAAGAACTAAGCACTGAGGTAACCCTTCCTGGCCATCTAGCCTCTGTTTGAAAACCTCCAAAAAAGGCGAGCCCACTACCTCCCAAAGAAGCCTATTCCACTGAGAAACCACTCATTAGGAAGAATGTTGACTCTTTTGTTTCGTCTCTCTCCCCATTCCTTTTTCTCTGGTATTCTGAAAGAAGTTGCCGAACTCTTGTGGCACAACACACTTTTCTCATTATCTCTTGAATGGAACAACTGGAAATTATACCCCCCCAAAAAATCAACTTTGTATAGGAATTCAGTCTTTCCTCATTGTCACTTCGTTCAACTGCATTGTGAATTGGCACTGATTGCTGTTCCTTTGCACAGCTGTGACAGTAATGTACCTGTGTCTAAATCTGTACTTAACAAAAGGCAGCTGCTAATACTGCTTTCTGGGCGGGAAAATTTGGGCATAGCATTCTATACAGAATTTTGAACATCAGGATACAATATCTTTCAGTTATTTAGCTAAAATGTATAAAGAAACATAATGTAAATGCTTCAGACCATTTGTACTATGTGCACGGAATAAACCTGAAATCATAAGAGATCCTCTCATGGCCCTCTTCTCACCAATGAAGTAAGATGTAGATAATTGCAAAGTTTTTCCAAGCAGAACCCGATCAGCATTTAGATGCTGTTTTCACAAAAAGCGCCTCCCTGTTACTTTTCTTGGAGATGCTCATTCTCTTAAAAGGCCTCATCCAGACACCTTGACACTCTGTGCATTATAAGCCATGGCTTGAGTGGACCTTAGCTAGCTGAGATCTACATATAGACGATGCAATAAACTGGTTGGCACCATACTGGAACTTCATACTGTGGCTGGTAACCACATTTTGTTCTAACTGTGGCTTGTAGTGTCTGAATTCACAAATTGCTGTTCATTGGGTAGAGTTGCCCCTTATAGCAGCTTGCTGCCAAAGTTGACAACACAGGGGTATTGTTCTTCCTGCTGACAACAAAGAGGAAGTAAAAAAAAAAAAGGATTTCCCCCTGCAAACATGGGGGCTTTTTAGGTTTGTAAAACAATCTGTCTTGTCTGTTCATGGCTCCAGTCTCCAGATTTAAGTATCCTCATGTTTCACCACATTGAGAATTGGCAATACTGATATGTGGTAGTCTGAGTTTCTACAGAAGCCATGGCTTAAACAAACCATGATGCCTAAGGGTAGTTAATTATTTTCGCCTTCTGTTCTCCATACATTCTCCATACACTAGTTTGGTGTAGTGGTTAAGTGCACGGACTCTAATCTGGGAGAACCAGGTTTGATTCCCCACTCCTCTGCTTGCATCTGGCTGGATGACCTTGGGCAAGTCGTAGTTCTGATAAGAGCTGTTCTTGAAAAAGAGCAGTTTCTGTCAGAGCTCTCTCAGCCCCACCTACCTCACAGGGTGTCTATTGTGGGGAGGGGAAGGGAAAGAAGTTTGTAAGCCGCTCTGAGATTCCAAGTGAAGGGTGGGGTATAAATCCAATTTCTTGTCTTCTTCTTCTCTCCTTGTATAGTTTCTTCCTTGCCAAAGGGTGAGTGGCCAGATCAATACAGCATCTTGGTGTGAAAGTGTAGGGGGTGTGAGACCTTGGAGGGGGGGCAATCTGAGACTGTTGGTCTTGCTGACAGCTGGCATAAATTAGTTCTTTGAGGCTTTCAGAGCAAGGCACTCTTGCCTGAGCAGAAGAGAAAGGAAGATGTGATATTTTACTTAATTTTTCTCTTATAAATATGTATTTTTAAAGGAGTCGAGTTAGGGTTTCTGCAGCAGCTGCAGGGAATGCATTTCCCCAAGTGATGGAGGGCCTGATGTGTATCATGGGGGGGGGGCTCTGCCAACCTCTGTGACCATTCTCAACATTCTACTGATAGCTAGTAACATTTGGCAGTCGCACTTATTCTGCAGGAAAGCACACATTTTGAAGAGGAAGGGCAAGAGGATTCTTCAATGTTTTGCTACTTGAGAATGTAACATAATCTGTTGTTAGAAGGCCACTGTTTAATTTTAATGCCAGTCAGAATACGCAGCAGTTAAAGATAGTGAAGAATTTATATTGGGGTCATTTCCCTGTGGATAGAATAAAATAACCCGTAATTATTGTAAATGCTGTCTACAATATTTCAGACTACATTGGTAGATTATGATGATTTAGAGCATGTCTGAACAAACATTTTTGTTTAGATGACTTGAACAGCAGCTGTTTATCGATGCACAATGCACAGCCAAAGAAAGGAGGGAAACAGATCTGCTTATTTAAAATCAAGCTGAGATTAACTTTTCCCTGAAACAGAACCCTGAAAAATCATTGCTGTCCCAGCTGAATTGGGGCACCATATTTGTATCATACCCGTCCTCCACAGAGTCCAGGGCAATGTGCAATGTTCTCTTTTCTTACACCTTATCTTCACAACCACCCTGGTAATTAATTTTCCCAGAGTCAGCCAGTGGACTCTGTGGATGAATGAAGAGGCTAGTCCAGCTGTCTAACAATTACTCTCTAGTTGC